ATATATATATAGAAAAAAATTAGCCAGGCATGGTGGCACATGCCTGTAGTCCCAGCTACTTTGGCGACTGAGGCAGGAGGATTGCTTTAGCCCAGGAGTCTGAGGTTGCTGTGAGCTAGGGCTGATGCCACAGCACTCACTCTAGACTGGGCCACAAAGCGAGACTCTGTCAAAAAAAAAAAAAAAAGAAAAAGTGGGACAGTTGGTTTGACTAGAGCGACTACAAATTTTAATTAGGTAACTTGGAAAATTGTCTTGAATTCTTTTTATTTTACCCACTGCTACTGCTCAAAAGAAAGAAAAATATTTTATTAATGAAGGTGAAGTTCTCTATTTGGAATAATCATGGATGGAGATAGGAAGTTTAAGTTAACCTGCCCCCATCAAAGAGCAGAGTGCAGGGACCTGTTGTCCCCGAGCCTTTCAGCTGCTCACTTCTGCCCTGGGTCTCAGGTCTACAGGGCTGCCTCCCACAAGGTCCCTTATTCTGCCCCCACTGCCCACTAGTCATGGCAGGGAGGCAGGATGGAGCCTCCATTAATGTCTTTCCCAGACCAATTTAATATAAACTGGGTATTCTTATTTACAGAGAGAAAGGAGGGGGGGAAGATAATACATTATCTCCTGATCTATCTGTGGGGCCCAGTGACCCCCTGTTTTGAAGAGGACAGCCAATCTCCCAGAAGCCTTTGGAAACAGTGTTTTCCTCAAAGGCTCTACCTCCTCCCCTGCCCTCATCCTGCATCCACCCGTGGACCATTCTTCAGACCAGGCATCACTTGATGTCTCTGCCTTTTGCTCACCTGTGCACCCATCCTGAAGAGAAAGGGGAGGAAACAGGATTAACACTCATTGAGCATCTTCAGAGCCAGACCATGGGTAGGTATTTTAAGGACATTGCCCCATCCAGACCTCACCACAGCCTTTGGGATAGGAGCCTCCTCTGTTGATGAGAAACAGGCTCCAAAATCAGCCATTGTCAAACTGCCAAAAAGTGGTAACGCTGGCCTCTGAATCAGCCCAGTTGAGTTCCAAAACCTACACACTTCCCACAGTATTTAGCTGCCTCTCGGCCCAGAATGCCCTATATCATCTTTTGTGCAGGGAGAAATCCTACCCATTTATGAAAGCCCACCTTTAATGTCACCTCTTCTAAATCTTCCCAGAACCCTCCCAAGAGGATTGACTCTCCTTCATGCCTTTGCGGTCCCCTCTGAACACCTCTGTCATGACACATGATACTTTGGGCACCTAGGCCCTCCCTCATTCCCAAAAGCTGGATGAGGCTTTTATGCTACTTCCACAGGCTGACCGTGTGCTGAACTTCAGTGCAGAGTTTCAGTTTCCCTTCCTAGTGTGCGAGCTCGCTGGGGTAACAGATCCTGTCTTTGTGACTCCACAGCCCACAGCAAACACATGAGGGAGCACGGGGGAGTGCTCACAAGCATGGGTTTTAAGTCTGGATTAAAGTCCTGGTTTTTCCACTTCCTTGCTTTGAGCCATTGGGCAAATTGCTTATTCCTCTGTAAGCAAATAGGGATGATTGTAACTACCTATAAGTCATAGGATTGTTGTTAGGAGAAATGAGATCATATGTGTAGAACACTTAGGACAGTGCTTGACAACATAACAGGTGCTAAAAAACAGCTAGCTAATATTCATTGGAAAGAAACATTCCTAACTCTCAAGAAACACTAATTGATTTGACCATCAGCCATATTTTCCTTTGGGATTCTTCCTACTTCCATTTTATGTGGCTGCTGTTTGGTTGTTGTCACAGAACTCCTCCTCACACCGGGCATGCCCAGAGACCCAAGTCTGGCCAATCTCAGACACTCTTAGCGTGGCAACAGTGACTGGTCCATGGCTGGGCATGTGGCCCAGGCAGAATCCTCCCTGCAAGGAAATTGGGGTAAAGATGCTCTTTCTCATTGCTAAGGTTGCTAGCATGTTCTCCATAGACCTGAAGTAGAAATGAGGATGTGTGGACGGAGAAAGAACGAGTCTGGAAGAGTTGAATCCCCAGTTTTAGTTCTACAGCTCTGCATTCCATTCTTCAAGCTTTCTCTCTCCTGCCTTCTCACCACGTGCATGAAGAAAATAGTGACAGGTAACATTTATTGAGTGCTTACCGTATATTTGAGACACTGTTCTGAGAGCTTTATATGTATTAACTAATTTAATATTCTCAACAAACTCATGAAGAAGGTATGATTAGTAACATCGTTATTCCCATTTTACAGATTAAGAAATTGAGGTACAGAGTTGTTAAAATTAACCTGCTGTCTCTTTGAATTTTTTTTAGAGACAGGGTCTCACTCTGTTGTCCAGCCTGGAGTATAGTAGCACCATCATAGTTCACTGTAACCTTGAACTCCAGAACTTAAGTGATCCTCCTGCCTTGGCTTCCCAAAGTGCTGAGATTACAGGTGTGAGCCACAGTGCCTGGCCCTCATTAAGCTGCTGAAGATCACAAAGCAAAATGGCAGAGCCTGGATTTGTACCCAGGCTCTCTGGCTCTAGAGCGCATAATCTTAACCACTTCACTACAATGTATTGCAAACTCTATTTAAGTAAATTTAAGTCTGGTTTTTATTTCTTGTAATGGAAAGAGACCTCCTCTCCCCTGCTTTACCTGCAGAAGTCTCAGCTCCCAGTGGCTTCTCCTCTTCTGGCCAACCTCCACTCTCTGACCCCTGGAAAGAAAACTCTTCCAGGCTGGAAAGAGACTGCAGCTCCTTCGGGGGTGTTCTGCACGGGGTGCTGTTGGTGCTGATGACAGCTGAGACACGGAGTGGCACAGACACAGCAAAGGGCTCGGAGATGTTCAGTGCCTTGCGCTGATGACGCGGGGAGGGCTCCATCTGGAAGAGGCTACTGGTAAAGACGGATTTGCTGGCGCTGTCGTTCGAGGTGTAGAACATGCCCAGCATCTTTGGGGCTGTTTGCTCACTCTCAGGATCCTCAATGGGCCGGAACACCTTCAGCTGCTCGGGTGGGGGCCGGGCCTGAGCGCCCTGGAGTTGGCTCCGGTCACTGCTCACATCAAAGCCACCCTCAGCCCCGGCAGGCATCCCCTCCTGGCCCCATTCTCCCTCCTGCTTGCTGAGGTCACATGAGCTGCCAGTGCTGGTCGGGAGCATTTTTGTTGCTGGAATGAAAAATCCACCAGTGGTGACTGTTCGATTGAAATTTCCCTTGGTTTCTTTTCCTGGTGAAAAAGAACAAGCACATGTTAGCAGGCTGGACAAATGCACGACTGCTCGTCCTTCAGGAAGGGCAGGCACACAATATTTGAATATTGGAGAGGCACAGCATTCTAACAGCGGCACAGCCAACCAAATACAGACAGGTACCTAACATCTGGTTGACAAGAGAAAGCGTTTTTTCATATGCGCAGAATTTTGACATGATGCTCTGATAGGACTGTTTGCTGTTATGACGTATATGTCGGTTTTAAACTCTACCAGTAAGAGCAGTTTCCAAAAGAAAGTCACTGCCAATGTTGTTAAACAGAGCTAGCTATCATCTACCAGGCATTAAGTGTAGATCATGAAAAAAATAAAGATATAGATAAGAGATGGCAGAATGATGATTTCTCAAAATGAAGAAGACAAAAAGGGGAAAATAACAGAATCTTGTTTTATTTTAGAACTTTAAAAGTTATTGTTTTAAGTCTTCTCTGGCAGATGGACCCAGATAGGGGTTTGATTTCCCAGCAAGGAAACAAATGCTGTTCTCAGCTAGACCTCTCCCCTCTTTGCCCAGACTTCTTCCTGTTGATTCAGAGGATGTGAAACCAGGAATGTAAATTAACTAAATGTTCAGAAGCATAGCAGTGAGGAGTGAGGTCTTAACTGACTTAGAAATGAAGGCAAAAAGAAAAAAGTCTTCATGGGAAGTAAATAAGCTTGGAAATGACTTGTGAGTTGCAAAGGATCCAGAAAATAATGTCTAATTTAGTATTAAGCATTATGCTGAACGTCTTATGGAACATTATGTTAACAATTCTTACAACCACCCTGTAAGGGAGTGTAATTATCTTCTTTAACACATGAGGACACTGAAACTCAGGGGTTAGATGATCTACCCAATACTACTTAAGTAGTCATATGCATAATGACCTATTATTATGAAATATTAAGTCCTACAAAACTGGGCAAGAACTGACCAAAGAGGTTTCAAAACCAAATCAAATGGGGCTGGACTCGGTGGCTCACATCCGTAATCCTAGCACTCTGAGAGGCCGATGCGGGAAGATTGCTTGAGGCCAGGAGTTGGAGACCAGCCTGAGCAAGAGCGAGACCTACCATCTCTACAAAAAATATAAAAATTAGCCAGGTGTAGTGGTGTGTGCCTGTAGTCCCAGCTACTAGGGAGGCTGAGGCAGGAGTGTCACTTGAACTCAGTAGTTTGAGCTTGCAGTGAGCTGTGATGATGCCACTGCACTCCAGCTCTGAATAACAATGAGACACTCTATCTCAAAAAACAAACAAAAAAGCAAATGGATGAATATAAAAGTGAGAAAATTCTAAAACTATCAAGACAGCTTAAAAAGATCGCACTGAGTATTATATAAGTTTGGAATTACTTTAAACATTGTTCTTAGGAATCCATATAAGGCAAAAAACAAAAAACAAAAAAAACCCCAAAATCCCATAAAAAATTGTTCTAAAGATTTCCTTCCTGTATTGCTCCAGGCTGCCTCATTTTTCAAAGATAAAAATGTCTTGGATTAAAGAGGTTGGAAAGTCATGGGATAAATATAGAGGAGTTTTAACAGTCTGTTGCCAGACAAGTCCTTTGCCTTATAACTGGTAATGGTACTTGTTGGTTACTTAAAAAGAGAGATTGTACAGGCAAGTCAGCCTTTAAGGCTAGAGCTGTGAGAACAAACGTGTTGTTATGGTGATGGGTGTCACCTTGTGTGCAAGTGCACACACATCTACTCCAACAAAGTACATGGTAGTGTGCACATGCCTGACACACAGCTGGTGCCTAATTGATGTTTACTGATAAATAACAAATGAGTGAATGAATGAACAAACTTAACTCAAAATCATGACCTGAAAAGCACTTTGAAGCCAATACCTATGGAAATATCCAAATTCAAGACATATAAGCATCTGCATAAACCAATGCTTGGCATTTTTTTCTGCCCAAAGGGGAAGCCTTGTCTGCCTTTGTTTTCAGGTGTTGATGTTTTACCTGCTACAAGTTTGAATGAAAAGTAACTGTGGACTCCAGCTGTGGCTAGAGGAAGGCTGGAGAAAGAGAAAGGCTCTTTGGGGCTACCCCTGTGGTAGTAGGGGAGGCTATGGCAAAGGCTTGAGTTTGGGAAGGGTCGGGGAGGCATTTGGGACTAGGCGACTCTGTGTGACCACCAGGCACAGCATCTTATAAAGGTAATGAGCTCCAGTCTCCCAGGTGTGATCCCCAGCTCAGAAACTAATTGTAAAATCTCACCTTCCACAGGCACTGAACACAGCGAGTCCATGCTTTTAGCTGGTCGGATAGTAGCTTTTTCCACTAAAGACAAGAGAAAAAATATCTCTGAGGAATGCATACTAAGAGGAAGCATTCAGAAAAATAAGTTAGGCTGTAAGTACAGAAGATAAATGTCTTTAGGAAAGTTTTGCAAATATTTATAATTTATCCCCTTGGAAAACATTCCTCTACTCCCCCCTAGATGTTCCTGCTTTCTTACTGAACAAAGTTTTATTAATGTTTGACAGATAAAGGTAAATTGTAATTTTGCCAAATAGCTATTAGTAAATGAGGAGTCTGAAACCAATTTTTTTGAACTTTATTTTATTATTTTTTATTTCAGAATATTACAGGGTACACAGGTTTTGGTCACATAATTTGCTTTTGTACAGTTTGAGCCAAAGTTATAAGTGTGCTCTTCACTCAGATAGTGGGCATTATACTCATCAGGAGTGAATTTACACATCCCCTCCTCCCCTCTCTCACCTACTTGATTTCCCTTGAGCTTTACTTCCATATGTGCACATAAGTGTTGACTCAGTAGTTCCCATTTAGTATTGAGTACACGTGGTATTTGTTTTTGCATTCTTGAAATACTTCACTTAGAAGAATGGTCTCTAGGTCCAGGTTGTTACAAAAGATACTAGATCATCATTTTTTTTTCTTTTTATGGCTCAATAGTACCACATGGTATACATATACTATATTTATTTATTTATTTTATTTTAGCATATTATGGGGGTACAAATGTTAAGGTTATGTATATTGCCCATCCTCCCCCTCCCCCCTCCCACTCACCCGACACCCAATAAATGTTACTCCTATATGTCCACTTAGGTGTTGATCTGTTAATACCAATTTGCTGGTGAGTACATGTGGTGCTTGTTTTTCCATTCTTGAGATACATCACTTAGTAGAATGGGTTCCAGCTCTATCCAGGAAAATACAAGAGGTGCTATATCACCATTGTTTCTTAAAGCTGAATAGTACTCCATGGTATACATATACCACATTTTATTAATCCACTCATGTATTGATGGGCACCTGGGTTATTTCCACACTTTTGGGATTGTGAACTGTGCTGCTATAAACATTCGAGTGCAAGTGTCCCATTTGTAGAGTGTCATTTGATCTTTTGGGCAGATGCCCAGTAGTAGAAGTGCTGGATCACATGGTCTACTTGTATCGCTTTAAGGTATCTCCATATGTATTCATGGCCACTTGGATGTTTCCACATCTTTGCAGTTGTGATTTTTATTTTTTTGAGAAAGTGCCGTGGCATCAGCTTAGCTCACAGCAACCTCAAACTCCTGGGCTCAAACGATCCTTCTGCCTCAGCCTCCTGAGTAGCTAGGACTACAGGCATGCACCACCATGCCTGGCTAATTTTTTCTATATATTTTTAATTGTCCAGCTAATTTCTTTCTATTTTTAGTAGAGACGGGGTCTTGCTCTTGCTCAGGCTGGTTCTGAACTCCTGGCCTTGAGCAATCCACCCACCTCAGCCTCCCAGAGTGCTAGGATTACAGGCGTGAGCCACTGCGCCCGGCCTGCAGTTGTGAATTGTGCTGCTATAAACATTGGAGTGCAAATGGCTTTTTTTCATCAAATTTCTTCTTTTTCCTTTTGGTAGATACCTAGTAGTGGGATTACTAGATCAAATGGTAGTTCTACTTTTAGTTCTTTGAGGTATCTCTATACTACTTTCCATAAATGTTATACTAATTTGCAGTCCCACTAACAGTATATTTGTGGTCTTTTCTGGTTCCATACAAAGCATAGAACTATTTATTCTAGATCTGTGAAAATGATGTTGGTAATTTAATGGGGAATGCATTGAATCTGTGAATCACTTTGGGCAGTATAGACATTTTAACAATGTTGATTCTGCCAATCCATGAGCATGATATGATTTTTCATCTGTTTACATCCTCTGCAATTTCCTCAGTATTTCATAATTCTCCCTAAAGAGGTCTTTCACCTCCTTAGTTAAATATATTCCTAGGTATTTTATTTTCTTTGTTGCTATTGTGAAAGTTATTGTGTCTTTGATTTGATTCTCAGCTTGACTATTGTTGGCATACATGAAAGCTACTGATTTGTGTACATTAATTTTGTAACCTGAGACTTTGCTGAATTTATTTATCAATTCCAGAAATCTCTTGGTTGCATCTTTGGGGTTTTCTAGATATAAGATCATATTGTCAGCAAAGAGCAATAATTTGACCTCTTCCTTCTCCATTTGGATATCCTTGATATCCTTCTCTTGTCTGATTGTTCTGGCGAGGACTTGCAGCACTATGTTGAACAGAAGCGGTAATAGTGGGCAACCTTGTCTGGTTCCAGTTTTAAGGGGAAATGCTTTCAATTTTTCCCTGTTCAGTATGATGTTGGCTGTGGGTTTGTTGTAAATAGCTTTTCTAATTTTGACATATGTCCCATCTATGCCTATTTTGTTAAGCGTTCTTATCATAAAAGGGTGCTGAATTTTACTAAATGCTTTTTCTGCGTCTATTAAGAGGATCATATGGTCTTTGTTTTTGCTTCTATTTATGTGGTGAATTACATTTGCAGATTTGTTTATGTTGAAACATCCTTGCATCTCTGGGATGAAGCCCACTTGGTCATGGTGAATTATTTTTTTGATGTGCGCTGAATTTGGTTTGCTTAGATTTTATTGAGAATTTTTGCACCTATATTCATGAGATATTGGCCAGTAGTTTTCTTTTCTTTTTTTTGTTATGTCCTTTCCTGGCTTTGGTATCAAGGTAATATTGGCTTTGTAGAACGAGTTGGGAGGATTCCTTCCTTCTCAATGTCATGGAATAATTTCTGTAGTATGGGTCCCAGTTCTTCATTGTAGTCTTGGTAAAATTTGCATGTGAAAACAGCTGATCTGGGACTTTTATATTGGGAAATTTCTTATTGCTGCTTCAATTTTGGTGCTTGATATTGGTCTGTTCAGGAGTTCTATTTCTTTCTGATTGAGCCTAGGGAGGTTGTGTGTTTCCAAGAATTTTCTTCCACATTTTCAAGTTTATGAGCATAGAGATTTTTATAGTATTCAGAGATGATATTTTGTATTTCTGTGATATCAGTTGTCATTTCTCCTTTTTCATTTCTGATTGAGCTTATTAGAGTCTTTTCTGTTTCTGGTTCATCTAGCAAGAGGTCTATCAATTTTGTTTATTTCTATAAGAAACCAAGTTTTTTCTTAATTAATCTTCTGTATAATTCTTTTGCTCTCAATTTCATTTCATTCTGCTCTGATCTTGGTTATTTCTTTTATTTTGCTGCGTTTTGGATTGATTTGCTCTTCCTTTTCCAGTTCCTTGAACTGATTCATTAGGTTGTTATTTTGTGATCTTTCTGTCTCTTAGATGTGGCCATTTAAGGCTATGGATTTTACTTTCAGAACTGCTTTTGCTTCATCTCACAGATTTTGAAAACTTGTTCCCACATTATCATTTTGCTTAAAGAATCCTTTGATTTCCATCTTTATCTCCTCCTTGAACCAACTATCATTCAGCAATAGGTGTTTTATTTTTCATGAATTTATGTAGAGATGAGTGTTTTTGTTGGAATTGATTTCTAATTTTATTCCACTATGGTCTGAGAACATACATGGTATAATTTCTACTTTTTAAAATTTGTTGAGACATGTTTTATGGCCTATGATGTGATCAATCTTAGAGAATGTTCCATGAGCTGTTTAGCAGAATATATATTCAGTAGTTTTTGAATAGCCTTCTGTAAGTCTGAACTCTAGAACAAAGATTCATTTGTTGTAGCGTTTTGTTTAAGTCTATTGTTTCTTGGCTTATTCTCTGTTTGGAGGATCTATCCAGTTCTGTCAGTAGAGTGTTGAAGGCCCCAGCTATTATGATGCTTCTGTTTATCATTTTGTTTAGCTTGAGTAGGATTTGCTTTATGAATCTGGGTGCTCCTGTATTAGTATTAAGTTCATAAATATTTAGGATTGTTAAGTATTCTTGTTTAATTATTCCCTTCACCATTATACAGTGACCATCTTTGTCTTTTTTACTTTAGTTAATTTGAAATCTATGTTATCTGATATGATAACACCAGCTTTCTTTTGGTTTCCATTTGCATGGAATATTGTTTTCCATCCTTTTTCTTTGAGTCTAAATGAATCCTTGTGGGTTAGATGTGTTTCCTGGAAACAACAGATACTTGGGTTGTATTTTTTTATCCATTCAGCCAGCCTATGTCTCCTGAGTAGGGAGTTCAAGCCATTCACATTTATAGATAAAACTGATACATGGGGTGGATTTCTGTTCTTCCTATATAGAAAACCCTTATTGCTTTGTTTTATCTCTTGAGCCATTGTGGTATCTGGACTCTGAGCTTTAGCTTTTGGATGATTTTACACTGGTGGATGTCTATTGCACTGATCAGTATATAATGCATTTCTGAGTACTACCTGCAAGGTAGTACTCTGGTCTTCACAAATTCCCCAAATTGGTAGTACTCTGGTCTTCACAAATTCCCTCAATGATTGCTTGTTCAAAAAAGTCTTTATTTCTTTCTCATATGTGAAATTTAGTTTTACCTGATACAAAATTCTGGCCATTATTCTGTTTTAGAAGACTGAGGATGGGTCCTCAATCCCTTCTGGCTTGTAAAGTCTCAGTTGACAAGTCTGCAGTTAGTTTGATAGGTTTTTATTTGTAAGTTACCAGCTGTTTTCACCTTACTACTTATAGGAGTGCCTCTTTTATGTTTATTTTGGCCAGCTGAATGACTATGTGTTATGGTGACTGCCTCTTTATGATGAATCTCCCAGAATTCAAGTGTGCTTCTTTCACTTGGATATCCAGATTTTTAGAAAGGGCAGGAAAATTTTGCTCAGTTATTTCCTTAAATAAATTATCCAACCCTTGTGTATTTTCTTCTTCACCTTCAGGGATGTCTATGATTCGTACATTTGGCCTCTTTACATAATCCCACATTTCTTGTAGGCATCGTTCCTTCCTCTTATTTCTCTGTTTTCTCTTTGACTGATTTGTTTAGCTCATAGG